TTTGTTCTTTGCATGGTCATGCTTACTGCTCTCAGGAAACCTCTCATCTGTCCACAAATGACAAACAATTATTTGACTTAATTAGCAAACCCTGGGCCAAGTTCCTGTTCCAGAATGACTGGCACTGCAACTGGCTTGAAAACTTGCTTCAACTGGGAGATGCCTTTTTTTATTATTCCTCATGTGTCAACTGACTGCAGCAAGTACTGGGATTTCAAGATGCTTAGTATTTCCAGGTTCCTCACCAGAACAAACCTTTTTGGAGGCTCAACACATGTAACATCAGCTTTCCACAGCTTCTGCTTGTCCCTCATTGCCAGTGACAGGAGCAATGGTGACAGGCGCAGCACCCACAGTCACCAACCTCTGTGTTCAGATGTGTTTGTCCCTGGTGCCTCCATGGCCCAGGAGGCAGAGCCAAACCCAGCTGTGAAACCCTCTGAAAGCAACAGTCATGGAGCCTTTGCTGACTGAGCGAGCACCTGGTGTCCAGCAACTACTTTTGAAATCACAATTATTTACTGAAATCTTCTCTTCCAAGATAAAAGTCCATCTAAGCTACAGTGGTGTCTTAACTGTGACTGGGAGGAGTATTCATCTACATATAGACATTGATTCCTTTGTTTTAAAGGAACAGCCCCTTAATTCTCATCTATCTGCTTTAAACATTTAATGAAATTATCATTTTTCTCCCTTACTTCCTGCTTTATCTCCAAATGCCTGGTGGAACATGGTGAGTTCAGTGAGGACCAGGCACTCCACAGTTTTCTCCCTGTGCTCATTGTGCTCGGTGGAAATGTTGGTGTCATCACCAGAATGCCTCAAGTTAAGTTATGTAACATAACAAGTGCTGAAGTCAGGTTTAAACCTCAGGATAAAACCCATAAAGTAATTAAAAGAGCAAGGACTAAGAGAGGATGAGGTCTACTACCACAAAGTCATACAGGGCCCTCAAGAACAAGACCAACTGAGTGATCCTGCTCTAATTCAGAGAGCATGGTGCAGAAGAGGCTGATGTTGTTTGTCAATTTGTGGTACTTTCTTTCACACATTTCAAAATATATTTGCACAATCTTTTTGATGGGAAACCTATATTCCTTCAAATCAGCATATTTTCACAATCTAGTAATATTCTGTCCTGTAACATACATACAATTTATTATTTTTGCGGGGGAAAAAAAAGAAAATGAGCTGGAGTTCCTTATGGGCTTCTCTTTCACACTGTCTTCGGTGTAAATTTTACCCATTTACTTTAAAAAATGAAAGTAAACTATAGAATAATTGGGTATAAAAACAGATCACAGAATAGTTCCGTCCAATTCCATTTTTAAGCATCTGCAGAGAATAAAAAGAACTGTTGGTAAGGGAAAAAAAATCCAAAGTATATATTTGGAAGTACTTATGATTGTAATAAACACATGCTGGGCGTTTGGTGAAGAACTTTTAAGCACCCATGATAAATTACAACTTATAATTTCTAATTCTAATATCTTGCAACCGAGCTCAGGAATCTTCTGCCACAAATTTTGTATTGCTTTATAGGGAGGATAATAGAATTGTTGAGGAAATAAGTTATATTCAGTTCTAAGAGTATTTCTTCTTTTTTGTTCACTACATACTATTTAATATTTTCCTTTGTACACTTCTTGATAGTTGAGCTTTAAGTGAAACTCTGAAAAACAACATTAGGATTCAAAATACAGTGGAAGATTTTATTTTCAGGGTCACAAGTAGCATAGCGAGATTTCTCTCTTAAACAATGACACTTAGTATCTCTGTAGTTCTATGAATACTTTTGAAGTGTCATATTAAAACCAATCTCTTGGCCTTCAGGCAAAGAGAAGCAATTAGTCTTGGAGTTGTGAATAAATAAAAATCCATTTATATACCCGTCCTTGACACGTACCTTGCAAATCTTAGAAACTTCATCTAGTGGGAAAAGAAATGTTAAATCATGAACACCAATACTAATCATACTGCGATGTTGCTTCCTAAAACTGTTTAGTTTATATCAATCTTTTAAGTATTGATTCATATGTATATATTCTTACATATTGAAACAAAACAACAGAAAGGCACTCACACACTTGAGCGAGAAGAAAGAAAGGAGAGCGTGCATATAGAGCTGTAACGTGTACCTTTATTACCTTCAACATTAATAGAGGCAAGAAAAACCACAAAGCTGCCAAGTCCATTGTCCTTTTCTCAGACACAGTAAAAACAATCCCGCACAAGTTCCGTCCCACACGCAGGCTTTTTCATCCCAAGCGCTACCGTGTCTGCTTTGATCTACAAGCAAACAAACAAACGGCATCTTTATCACCCGCGCATCCCATTTCCATGCAGCACAATTAAACAGTGCCTGTCACAGATGTGTTGGGATGAGTCAGATCACAATTTCTACTTTTCATACAAGTGCAGTATTTTTAGGTCTTCTCTTTCCTCTTTAGCGTGCCTCAGTGCTGAAGCATCCTATTTTTATGCAGCTCTGATTGCTGTTCGAGAGTCTCATATTTATTTTTCACTTAGCAGTCAGTAATTCACAAAGGAAGTAAAAATTATAGCGCCAAGTCATTCCAAACAGTCCGCCCGCACCCCTACAGAAAGGCTGGGTGCAGCTCGGGCTGCGCGCAGGTCAGCGGCTCCGCGGAGCTGCTCCTCCTCGCATCCACTTGTTGACCCGAGTGCTGAGGAAATGAGAGCACTCGGGCTACAGCCCCGTGCCGCCATCAGGTGAGGCAGCTGCTGGGGACACGCCGCTGTTCGCAGGGAATTTCAGAACAAAACCTTCCCCCCTGTGCCCTGCTCACGGAGTCCCAGCCTGGAGGGCACAGGTGGGACAGCGACCCCCACACAGGATCACACCTGGGCTGATGGGATGGTCAAGGAAAACAAATTTTAGTCTGTTCTGGATGCAAATCTCTCTGCTGACCTAGTTCTCATTCTCCTTTTCATTTCAGAAGCTCAGCTAAAAATCCATAAATTAAGGAAATTAACTGATGGAGCCTCCGGCATCTTTGTAAGCTATTTAAATCTTTAAATTTACAACATCTTCTGCATATATCAAGTAATTGAACTAACTGCAGGGATGTAACTTTAATGAGAAAATTTCCCTCTTCTCCTGTAGTTTGTACTCTAGAAGGGGAAAAAAAAAAAAAAAAAGCTCCCCTTAGGAGAAAAGTTTCTGTTTATTCCTGCCGCGGCAGAAAACTTTAACCCCCCCAGTTTCGGGGTGTCCTGCCCGCATCGCGCCCCGGCCGCTCTGGGCCGGCCCGGGCCCGGGGGCAGCGCGGGCGCGGGGGCGCGCGGAGCCCTCCCCGCGCTGACCTCTCGGGGCCGCGCAGCGTTGCGTAACGGCCGCGCGGCGGCGCGCGCTAGTGGGCGCTGCAGCCCCGCCGGGCCGCGCACGGCGCCGTTCCGTTCCATTCCGTTCCGTTCCGTTCCGTTCCGCGGGCGCGGAGGCGGCGGGGCCCCCCCACCCCAAACACCGCCGGCAGAGCCGCGGGTGCGCCCGCCGGCAGCGGCGCGCTGGGGCGCGGAGCGGCCCCGCTCCCTCCGCCCAACTTCCGTGGGGACCAGCGCGGAGCGGGGGCGCATCCCCCGCGGCGGCGCGCGGAAACACGCGGGCACCGGCAGACCCGCGCCTCTGGCTGGAAGTTGAGGGAGGGATTTGCCGATATACATGTTTTTTTTTTTTCCCCTCATTCACGGGGGGGTTCCCTGGCGGTCCCCTCCCGGTACGTGGGCCGGGCGCGCTGCGCGCCCGCGGAGCCGCCCGCGGAGCCCCGCGCCATCGCGCCGCGCGCTCTAATTGAAATGGCGCTTTTGGCCGGGGGCGGGCTGCCAGGGCGCTCCGCAATAGCACAATGCATGTCGATAGACGTCATTTGGTTTTAATGGCCTACAGGAAATTTGGCGTTTACAATGCGAGACATTAGCAAAGGGTGAAAGGGAGGGGGAGGCAGGCAGGATGGATGGCTGGGAATAATTGCAGCCCCCCCCCCCCGCCCCCGAGGCCCCCCGTCCGCACCTCGGCGGCGCTGGGTGCTGCAGGGAAGGGGGGGTAGGGACTATTTTTTTATTATTTATTTTTTAACTTCATCTAGTTTATCAACAAGTGCAGAGTGGGTGCTACCCTAATTGTAACAGAGGAGTCAAGAGATGTGAGAAACGTGCCCTGTGTTACTTATTTGGGAGCTGAAAATTTATGCCTAGTTGAAAATGCCTGGGGAAATATTACATCAGACCAAATGACAATGATTAAAATCAGCTTTTTTCCCCCCCTTTCCCCCCCCCTCTTTTCCTCCTTCTTCTTTTCAGTAAGTCTGTTGAAGGACGTGACAGTGGCCTGATCCTCCCCAACACCGAACCGTTATCCCCCGGCAGGGCCGGGCCGGGCCGGGCTGCGCGGAACTCCGCGGGGCAGCGCAGCTCCCGCCCCGGCCGCGCCGCGCGGAGGGGCTCTGCGGGCGGCGGCGCCGGGGGCGCGGGCTGGGGAGCCGGCCGCCTTCCCAGCCTTATTTCATTTTCAAGGGCTGTATTTTATTTTATTCTGGGGGGGTGGGGGGGTGGGGGATGGGGGAGTAAATCTGCAGACCTTCACCAAAAGGAGGGAAAAATATCCAATTTTCATCGCAAAATTAGCTAGGGCGAGAGCAAAGGGCTGAGCTAATTGTAGCCTAATCCTCTGCCCTGCAGGCGTTTGCAAAGCCCTGAGCAAGAATTCGCTTTTTTTCCTCCTCTTCTCCCTTCCCTCTGTTATTTAGAGACGGGATTATTGCCTTTCTTCTCATAACAGCCTCGGCAGTTTCATTTAAAGGCTTTTTTTTCCCCCCCTCTCACACACACACATACACACACACGCACAAAATAAATAGAAAAAGAAGCAGCAAAAACAGGGGAAGAGAGAGGAGACAGAGAAGCTTTAAAAATAATAATAATCACAGCAGGATCTGCGGAGCAAAGATAGTAATAAAAGCAAAAAGCTGAGCCCATCCACACACAGCCCCGGCAGAGCCCAAAGCCAAAGGGGGGCTCGCAGATCTCTTCTGTGCTCAAGGTAAGGACCTCGGCAGCAGCAGCGGCTCCCGCAGCCGCCCGTGCGCCCGCCCGAGAGGGGCCGGAGCGCGCCGTGCGCGCCGCGCCGTCCTCGCATCGCGCCGCACCGCGCGGTTCGCGCCTGCTCGCGCTCCTTTTTTTTTTTTTTTTTTTTTTTTTTCCCTTCACCCCCCCCCCCCCTTCTTTTTTTTTTTTTTTTTTTTTTTGGAAAGTGCCTCTTCAAACTCACTCGGCTGCCGGCTCCGGGGAGCAGCGGCGGAGGGGTGTTTTTTTAAAGCTACAGGACCCGTTTGCAGCCGCCCCGCTTTGGTAGCGCCGCGCGTGTGTGTGTGTGTGTGTCTGTGCGTGTGTGTGTGTGTGTGCGTGCGTGTGTATGTTTTGTTTTGCTCCGCTCCAGCATGGGCAGCGCCGGCGGAGCCCCGCGGCCCGGGGTGCCCGCGCTCCCCCTGCCCCCCCGGCCCCGGCTCTGAAGACGGCCAAGCCCCAGCGCGGCGGAGGCAGCGCGGCTCGCTCTGCGCTTTCGCATGGTACACGCGGAGCCGCGGCCGCGGGCCCGGGCGGGCGGGAGCGCGGGGGAGCGCGGGCCGGGGCGCGGGGGCTGGCGGCGGGGCGGCTCGGCACAAAGGGAAGGCGGGCGACAATGGGGAGCGCCGCGTATGGAAAACACGGGCGGGCTGTGAATGAAACTCTGGCGCCAGTGAGAGTGGAAGGCTTGGTTTGGGGTAGACTTCAAACCACTCTAGGCTATAGTTTGCATTCCTGCTCCTGCATGCGATGTGGCACACTTCTGCAAAATTAATACATTAGCCTGGCTAATGCTCACCACCATTGGCTGCGCGGAAAATGTGCAGGATCGGGGATTCGGGCTTGACTTTTTTTTTCTTGCATTCATCTAAGACATCTCCTTTCTTGTTATGTGGGAATAAGTAAAGGACGCCATGTTGTGCCTTCTTTTTTTTTTTTTTTTTTTGGTTGAATTTTTCCTTCGGGCATGCAGTGTGTTCAAAAGAAAAAGGCAGAAGTTGAGTGACCGGGTGCGTTGCTCGCTGGTGATTTCCCTGACCATCAGTAAGGAAAAGCATTTGGGTGACGTGAAACTTGCACTAAATAGACTGGAGTCTGCCAGAGAGAGGCGGGTTGCGGAGGGGGGGCAGAGGGGGAGGAAGGAGAAAGACTTCCTTTTTTTTTTTCCCCTTTTTTAAAATGTTTTTGGCGGGGGGGGAGGAAGCAGAGCTCCAGAGGGAGTTCCCCCTTTGCTTTACCCCCCCCCCCCCCCCCGCCCCTCAAAAGTTTTGGGCACGATCTCCTCTGTGTCTCGGTGCAGTGCTCAGTAAAGCAGCGTGGAGGTGTGTGCAAATGTTTATGGACTTTTAATTTTGGAGCCACCGAGCCCAAGGTTTGCAGCCCCCCCGCCCCGCTTTGTCTTAGGGCTGGGAGCACGCCAAAGTGGGCAAGTTGTCCGGGGGTGGCTGTGAGGCAGAGCCGAGCTGTCGCTGTCCCCGTCCCCGTGTGGGCAGACAAAGGTAATTCCCGGTCTGGCCGTGCCCCTCCAGCAGCCCGGGCACGCAGACGCTGCCCCGGGGCCGCTGTGGCCCGCAGTGCCGAGGCCGGGGCGATGCCGTGGGTGGGTTTACCCCTGCTGGGGCTGCCGGTGCAGGGATGAAGGCCCCCGGGGAGGAGGAGCAGCCTCCCCCAGGCTCCAGCAGCCTCCCCCAGGCTCCAGCAGCCTCCCCCAGGCTCCAGCAGCCCGGCGGTGCGGCCGGGCCCAGCCCGGCTCCCCGGGAGAGCAGCTCCACGGCAGGTCCTAAACCTGCCTGCCGCTTTCATTGCACGTCTTAAATGTGCATGAAGGAATTAAACTGCACGAGTGAATAACAGCATTAGTTTCAATTAATTTTTATCCTGGCAACAATAAACTTTAGAAACAAAGCGCTTTTACATCCTTAATTAGTCTTGCTTCCCATCTGTAGTCTTTTAAGTGCCTGCTCCTTGATTTAACTTTGTCCCTCCTTCAGAGCCGCCTCCTTTTTTATTATTTTCCTTTTTTTTTTTCGTTCCCCCTTCCAGACTGCTGCCTGTTTCTTTCCTGCAACCTTTCACCTCCCTTGTCCCTATCTGTCTGCTCTGCTCTGTGCAGTTTATTTCTCCTGTATTTTCCCAACATCAACAGCAGTATTGGTTACCATGGCCCCAAGCTATGTGCAGAGGTGGGAAAGCTTCATCCGCCCAAAACTTCTTACACTTTTGAAGTCTTTCTTTTAGTAGGATCTGAAATGTATCATCTAGAGTGTGTATTAAATGAACAGTATTCCTGAAGGCTTTAGAGCAAGAAAGGCAACACCCTGGAAAATTCTGCAGTCTTTCAGCATTCTCTGCCCTAGGGTTATAGCCCTGGGCACGGAGCTGAATGGAGCTCTTACAACTGCCTTCTGTTTACCTTTTATGGTTAAAATAACAGCTTAGCAAAGAAGCAACTTCATGGAGAAACGATTCAGTGAAATCATCTCAAGCTGTAGCAGCATAGCTAGTTTAATCACCCCTAGAGAGCTGAACAACTGTGAGCACAATGGGACACAAAATCATTTTGTGTGTAAATGAGCATGGCATTGTGATTATTTCACTTTGCATGGGCAAATAGTTTTTACAAGCAGTTAGCTTAGGAAGGCAGAAAAAGATAAGCTGGCTCTGAAAGATCTTGGTGTGTAATGTTTGAAAAACTAAATATTCACATAATTTGGGAATCAGGCTCTATTGATTTTGCCTTCAGCAGGTTCCTGTGTTACTTATTAGAGCAGGGTTATTGCCTGTGCCACTAGTTGGGATGCTGTAGCCTGTTGTAGGCAACTAAAGAGCAAGGATTATTTTACATGGTTTAATAAATGAAGTTTGTTAGTGTTTCTGTGATATTTACCCTTAAGGTTTTAATTTTCTCATCCATATTAGAAAATATGTGCATAAAGACTTCCACTGGATAAATACATTTAGGATTTTGCTTCGTGCATAAAATAAGTACATTACTCAGTGTGATGAATTTTTGCTGTGTGTTACATTAAGAAGAGGAAGGAGTCATTAGAAATAGGGTTATGGTACCTTAAGAAACAGGGGGTATTTTTTTTTGGAGCAGTAGTGCTTAGCCGTTGTGCCTCTTGACAATTAGCTCATACAAAAAGGATTGAATTCCACAATTTTAATAAAAATCCAGGATTCATTTTTTATTATGAATCCTCTCCAGCCAGTGTTTTAATTCCCCTTCTCCTCCTCTCCCCCCAAAAGCCAGTGGCACCCTCAAGAAGTATGAAAAGCCATAAAAGTTTGAGAACTATTTTAGCTTTCCTGTGATTTTCTATAATTAAGTGTTTTTTCAACACATGCTCTAGCTGAGAAATGCCAAAAGCAGAGGATTGTTCAAAAGGTCCCTCCAGTGAATAGTATAAATTAAATATCTACTGTGTGAGTATGGCCTCACTGAGAATCTCAGTCTTTACAGATCAAGGAATTTACTGGTATACTAACATTAAACAAAATCCTAAGACAGCAGCAGTGTTTAAATATGCACAAATAGATTCATATCACTTGATCTTTAGCTATCTGTGCATATTTTAAAATTGATGTCTGTATTTCAAGACAAATGGTTAAATGTAAGACACATTTACAGAAGACTGGAAGTCCTTTGATTTCATTTGGAAATTGTAACAAGGGGTGCAGATGAGCCCTAATTAGACTCTTGTTTTGTGAAACTGCGTGAGATTTATTTCCAAGGCAGCCCTGTACCGTGCAAGGTCTGTACCTTTATCATTAGTGAACGTGGTTGGGGTCTGAACAAAGACAGGGTTGACATTCAGCCTGGATCTTCTGACCCTTTCATTTAAGTGAAGGAGTAGAGACTGAACATGAGTTTACAGTGCTCTTTGGGAAGGAAAAAAACCAGCAACCTTTGTCTGTGTTGGCAGACAGATTAGTAAACACGCTGTTAAAATACTGCAGGTACTTACATACTACGTTGTTTTTTTAAGTTAGTTGTTTTATTTATGCTATATGACATATTTACTGAAGGTTGGCCACAACAAGCTCTTGTGGGAAACAAGAAAGCAACATCTTGAGTCATGAAAGGATTCAGTCACTTTCCTTGAAGGTGGTGCTGTAGTGAAAATGTTAATGCCCAATTTTGCATCGGCTGACACAGGAGTCCTAGGACAGAGCTGGCATTTGCTTGGTGCTCAGTGCAGCTGTCCATCCAGCCTCTGAAGAGACAAGGATGTGGATCCACAATGGGGTGATGTATTCCTGGGCTCTAGATGCAGGAAATTCTTAGGAGCTAACCAAGATAAATACAGTGAATGGAGATGTTGTGATGACTTTGTGAAACTGTTCAGATTTGTTAAGATTTTTCAGTCCTGCTCTATAGCTTGGAAATGATTTTACAAAGAATGTTGCTGATTTGTGTTCATCAAGTGGTGTAGTCGGGCATCTTGTGCAAAATACTGCTAAGAGAAAGGCAAGACCAGCTTTAGATTTGTAAGAAACATTGTCAAAGTAATGTGGGAGAAATAGAAATTCACTTTGCAATGCTGCATGTAAAGTGCTTGTCAGATGCAAGGAAGAGCCTGGGTGTTTGGTAGCATGCTTGAATTTCAGAATACCAGGAAAATTAGATTATATTCAGAAATGTCTTCAGCTATAATGTTTTGCATATGTTGCTTTCCCCATAAGGGGGAGAATGGATGTACATTTTCTTAAACTTTTCTAGAAGGGTTTTTTTTTTCCGTTTGACCTGTGTGCCGTCTGCACCGATTGAACTGCAATCAGCTTTGAGACACACGCTTTGTGCAGAATAAACTGTGCTTTTCTTCAGAGGATAATCGAGGAATTTTCTTTTGCTTGGTTGTCCTGTTCATTTTTAAGGCATTTCAGTATTTTTAGCTTTGATTTTGCTGAAGATTTTTTTGAGTCGGTTCAGTAATTTCACTAATTTCCCAATATTTTTAGGGCAGGAGACATTAGGTGGATTGTGGAATTTATGATTTCACGTGCTAGATTATTCTGTACTTTCTTGTCCTAAAAGCATGGGTCAGTTTATTTATCTTTCTGTTTTCACTGCTTCCAAGTATTAATTGCTTTCAGTTTGAAATCTTACTAGTTGTTTAGGTCTAATATTAAAGCTTAACTGAAAATTATCCATTTATTTCACAATTATTGAAAATAAGCCAGAAAATTGATCTTAGTTTGAAGTGAAATTTACTACATGTATAAACTAAATGCCTTAGGTACTGAGGAAGTCACTAATTTAGAGGTGTCTTGTTACTGAGACAAACTTGCAAAAACCCCCTGAATCCCAATTCACAAATTGGTTATTCGTTTGTCAGGGGATATTTCACATCTAACACATAAGCCCACGACCTTTAATTAGAATTTTGCAGTTTGTTTTATGCCCCTTGAGGCTGACACCTTGAAAATTTTTTTCTTGATTTCTTATTGCTAATAAGCATCTTTCTCTTCCCCTCTGGTACTTAGAAGAAAATGATGCAAATACGCTTAATTACAGTGGTGGCAATAATTTGTTAGCCGCCTATGTGATCAGGCAGATGCAAAAACGATCTGATTAGATCTGTGATCACACTGAAAAACAAGGTAACACAGTGCTACATTTAAGAGAAACTGTTCTTTTTGCCTCCCTGCTCAGGAGGGAAGAAGCATGTCCCGTCTGTCTCTGACACGCTCCCCGGTTTCTCCTCTGGCTGCTCAAGGAATTCCTCTCCCAGCTCAACTCACCAAGTCCAACGCTCCCGTGCACATCGATGTAGGAGGACACATGTACACCAGCAGCCTGGCTACCCTCACCAAGTACCCAGACTCCAGGTAAGAAACACCTTGGTGGTGCTGGCAGCTCTCTGCTGCTGCTGCTCCCTGTGCACCTGCCAGGAATATCTCAGTGCAAAGTACATTTGTTATATATTCACCGCTTATGAATTATTCAGTTTCTGATTTATACAGGAACTTCACTGGGGTTCTGCAGAAAAAAAGGCCTGTACAATTAATATATTATTTAGAGAGTCTATTCATTTTCTCTCTCAACATCTCCTGCGCTCTGCCGATACATTTGAAGCACCTGTTGGTGTGCTGCCCTAGATTATTTCCAGCTGTAGCAGGAAACTTGTTTCTTTCAAGTTTGGGGGGAAAATTTGGCTTTTTCTTCCTCAAGGAGAGAGAATGGTTCTACTACTGTGGGACTAATGGATGCTGGTGTTGGCCAGCCAGAGTGCTGAGCTCACTGGGAGCTGTGTGCCCCAGCAGTCAGCTCCTCTGGGCTGGCCCGCCCTGGCTGCTGCAGCTGCATTAAATTCCTGGGAGTTTCCATGTAGTGCCTTGTGCTGGACAGGTTGGTGACATGTCTGGCAAGATTTATGGAGATCTGGCCAGCATTATCTCAGGATAAACTCCAGATATGCCTAATTAGGAGTAGATGTGGCATGAGATTGTATTTGTGCGTGACATGGAGTGTCTGTTGTCTGCCTGGCTGCCAGTCCTGCAGGGTGCTGGGCACCACGGAGGGTGGGGGCCTGGGCAAGGTGCAAGGCACTGCTCTGTGAGGGGTGAAAGCCCAGACACTGAGAGGTGCCTGATTTTGATTTACAGTTATATCCACTAAATCAGTTCAGGTTTTTGTCACTGAGGCTGCTCAGGGTGCAGAGGGTGAGTGTGAGTGTGAGTGTGAGTGCAGGGCAGGTGTGCTGTGCCTGGCCAATGTGCCCACTGCACTCTTGGCTCCAAAGCAAGCCAAAGCCCAGATTTTGTTGCCAGAGGTTTTGCTACCTGCATGGCCAGTATTCCAAAAGAGAGAATTGGTTTTTTTCTTTTTTTGGTATGACAACCAGTGTAAAGAGCTAGTTTCATCTGAAAATTTTTCTTTTAAAAGAACTAAGGGGTTTTGCAGATTTGGCAGCTTCCCAAGCAATAAATGACATTTATGGAGACACCTTGAAATGCCTCTAATATCATAAAGCATATGGCTGTGATTTCATTCCAAGGAAAGGGAGCTGCTGAAATTCTCTATGGAAAAAAGCCCAATTATTAAAATATCTATATTTTATGGTCAGATCAAAACAATATGATTTTTGTGGACAGTATCTGTTTAATAATGTCTTTGTGGTACTACTTTAATCATAAAGAAGAAATCTGTTTAGTGAAGAGAGATTTATAATGCAGAAGCATACAAATGCTTCATAGTATTAAAAATACAGTGAAGATTCTGCAGTTGTAATAGAGTGACACATCTGTTTCCACATTTTAATATATTGCTGCTATTTTTAAAATATGCCACACATCAAACTTACTTAATAAAAGCTTCAGTTATAGAAGCTTTGGGAGAATATACATAAATTCACAGATTTTATTTCAAGAGAATACTGTACTGAACCAAAATTTTCTTTTTTCTGCTTGATAAGTAGCAAAAGCATATTTCTTCAGATTTTGAAAGTACAAAACTGACCAGAGCTTACATGCTGCCTGATGTTTTGCTGGGTACTGTCCTTTGTTTATATTGCTATGTTATCTCATAAGGCTTGGCTGCTTTTTCAGCTGCTCAAACCTATAGATGACATTATTTTTGTAGCAAAAGATAAACCTTCACCAGCAGCCCAAGTAGGACATCTTGCTCGATACATTATGAAACTGGGTGAAGGCTGTATCTTAATTTATTATCTTATTTTTATTTTTTAGTATTGTTGGTTTTTTTCTGCAGTGCTGCATAGTAGACTTAGTTGTAAGCCTCTCACTGAGTCTGGCCTGCTGGCATTCCTGGTTGAGACAAAATCCTTGAGTTATTCCCATGGGGATGGTTGGAGCTCCTGGTGCTGCTTCCCTGCCCTGCTATGGATTTTCCATATGGCACAGACTGGCTTTGCAGGGCTGGGAGAGGATTCCCAGGTCACTCACGGGGCAGGAGGAGGGAGAAAGCTTTTCTGAGCAAAATATCTGGAAGTAATGCCAGGGCACTGCTGGCTTGTGCCAGGGGTGTGACATGTGTGGCCACAGAGAGGCACGGCCACACTGATCCCTGTGCAGAGCTGTCTGGGTTATTTTGGATAGGGTGTTAAATTCTTGAGTTTAAAAGCTTCAAATCCAAGAGATCACACAAATCTCTAGATTGTATTTCAGCAAAAGATAAAAGTGCTGAAATGCTTTGCTAAATCTTAGCTGCAGTCACATAAAATAGTTTGTGCTCACTGAAAATGAAAACTATGAGAATAAACTTCCTTTTAATTTGTTTTACAATTTCTGTTGCTTTCTCTGTGCTCTCAGATTGCAAAGAGCTTTTAGCTTGTGGGCTGTTCAGCATGTACTGTACTTGGATTTTTAAGGATACATGGATTGTGTATAAACGGGTGTGCATACACAGAAACATCACATTCTGATGGAAAAATAAATCACCAAGTTGTGCTGGAACTTCCTCAATATTTTGGGGAGGTCCTGAGCAAACTCAGCTGGTGCTGAGTTCAGTGAGAGGGAGGAGCTGCCAGGTCAGGAGCATGCAGGTGTGAGCAGCTCCTGCCCCAGCTCTGCTGTGGCACAAGGGACACAAGGGACACCTGGCAGCAGCTGCTGCATTTCCTGTGTGCTCTGAGAGCAGGGACTGGGCTCTGCCCACCCCTGTGCGTGTGCCTGGCTCTGCCAAGGGGAGGAAAAGGACCATACTGGGGAAATCTCAGCTTAGTGGATGGCTGTTAGTGGGAGGCCAGAGGCCAAATCTTGCATTTCAGAGATCCCAGAGTTGTTTCAGAGCAACCTTGAGCAAGTCTTTGATGTTGTTTGTATTAGTGCAGCTGCTGTGATCGGGGCATTTGTTCATTGATGAAATTTGCATAAGTAAAGGGTGCCAGATTAGGCATTAAAGGGGGTAGATGTTCTCTTTCCCGGAAATTTTTATGGCCCACAGAAAAATTCTCTTAAGAGGAGAAAGCTTGAGCAGGCACAAGTGGTGTGACAAAGGAGAAGAGGGTTAAAGAGCCACTGTCAAAGGTGGTTTCTGAACCACTCACACTCAGCCACTACTCTTGCACACCTTTCCAGTTGGCTTTTTGAATTAAACCACACACAAGAAAAAAAAAAGCTGGACTTTCAGAGAGTGAAATGCAAGGGAAATGAGAAACATAAAAAGAAATTGTGATCAACAACAGCATGGTGGTCTCAGAAATTACCTCACAAATAATATTGTTGTCATTCCCACAGCCTGTACCTACTTGAGGCCACTTTCCATGCATACCCAAAACTGTCATTAAAGTTGACAAGCTTTGAAGGTGCAAGGAGGTTGATGTTGTCTTACCTGGATCTGAGGCTCAATTTCAGTCGTTTGTTTTCAGCAAATTCTCCTATTTAAACTCACAACTCTTGTAGTTCTGACTTGCAGGTAAAAAAAAAAAACAAAAACCAAACCCAAACCAACCAACCAAAAAAACTCTGTTGAATTCTAGTGACTCTTACCATCAGTACCTTTTTTCTACAATAATTGGCTGCATAGAGAAAATATTCATCTTTGTAGCATTGGAAATTTCATTCCTGTTTTCACCCAGAGGACCTCTAAAGCAGCCCCTTCACACATTGACACTTGCATGTGGATTTATATGACAGATTGTAAAGGCTGCAAAACCTCCAGCACATCTCCAAAGTGAGTTGCAAATTGTATTTATCCAATGGAGTGAGATAATTTTTACATTTAGGAAACAAACCTGGCCCAAAAGTTCATTCCTTAGGTGCAGTGAGGAATCCCCAAAGGCATTGCTGGATCCCCAGTGTTATTCCCACTGAACTCTGGCAGGCATCTCACTGACTGCAAGCAGAAAAGAGGCAGAAGCTCCAAATCCCTGCAGACCACAGCAGGCCCCAGCTTCTTGATTTCACTGGAAATTTTGATACCACTTTGAATTTTTTTAGAAAGCAGAAGAAGATTTTGTGTCAGAAGCCTGTCCTTTTCACAGTCCTGAACAGAGTTTTTATCTCAGGGAATTGCTGTGAGCTCTCTCTGAGCTGTGCTGCTCCACAAGGCAAATGTATTTACCTTCCATTGTTGGATAGTTTGTGTATAATCCTGTGTTTAGGATACTCCCATGTGCTATAAAGCTGATGTTTTCTGTGGCATTATTTATGGCAAAGGGGAGCAGCAATGATTTCTGTGGCAGTGCCACTGTCCAGGTGGGAGCAGTGAGGGTGCAGAGAGCCCAGAGAGCCTCCCCTGGGGGTTTGGGAGCTCTGCTGGAGGTTGGAGCTCCTAAAACCATAAAACACTTTTTATACCCTTTTTATTTCTCCATTAAATTTATAATTTATTTATATATTTATTTTATGGGCCACATCATTTATTTAAACTTCATTTAAACTTTCTTTAAATTGAACTTAGATAAGCATATTTAAACATCAAGGATATACTTGTTAAAGTACATGTACACATATAGAGTGTATATTATATATATATATTACCAAAATATGCTCAAGAAAACTTAAAAGTAACATTACTGACACTGAATAAAAATTGACCTTAATAAAAATAGAATGAAACATGAAATCTTAAAATGAAGAAGAATTAGACCTGACCTTGCATAAACTTAAGAAATCAATCTTAATAGAAAAATGCTCTTAATTAAATCGATGGAATAAGAAAATATAGCATTACAATGAAAATAACACCATGATAAATGTAAATCTTTAGATTCCCAGGGCAGGAATCTTTAGCCCAGGGCAGCTGAGCAGGGCAGCCCCTCCTGATCCCAGGTCCTGGGCCCTGGGCTCTGCCTCCCACATCTGGAGCTGTGCCCTCCAAGGAGAACCAGCAGGTTTTATTATTGGTTCAGGAACTAGTGACCTCT